TTATCGACAGAACATTATACAAGGTATGATTTAACATGTCGCCAACTAACAAAAGTCAATCAATTAGTTATAATTATTTATCAAATTATATCTAGTTCATATTGGATTTGAACGTAGTGACTGAACTTCCCTCAGTAAAGTAGCCGACTGCCCTTCAAGTCCTATTTTGAAAGAATACTTAAGTATAGACCTAATCGTAGTTTTGTACATCACACTCTTTGCCGCCGCACTTATTAGTCTTATTAGCGCAGATTCACGACGGTCAAAAAGTAGCCTACCTTGCACTTTGAGCATACCTACACGTTTTCAACAGGTATGGAGTTCAATTTCAACAAATACGGTCGTTCAACCATCGATTCCTTGGGAACTCTATATGACTATGGTAGTGTGATGCATTATGACTCAAAAGCCTTCAGCAGGAACGGGCGCCCGACAATTCTACCAAAGAAACAGGGGATTAGTATAGCAACGCAGTGCGCACAATGAAATAGTAGTAGGTGATTTTAGTATCACATAAAGGTCGAAGGGGAAGGTAAGGTAAAGTCTGTGTCAGGCCAAGTGGTCCATACCGCGGGATCGAGCTTATCCCGGCTACTGTAGCATTAATGTGATTCCTTAGTAAAAGAACCGGCTATAGATTTCCGAAGAAATTTGGTATGCTGTTGTTACAGGACAAGGAGATATTAAAAACGTAGTAAAATGAGGGGGTCACTGTGCTTGTTTTCACGCCACAATGCTGACAAACACGGTTATTTAGGTGACTTTTGGTAATCTCCGTGCGCAACAAATAAGCTTGATCATTTTTCAATGCAGCTTGTTATATCACACAGAGTTTGACTTTATTTGATTGTTTATTCATCCACGTCCCAGAAAAAATGTCTTCAAATACCCTGCATCTTTTTATCCTTTAAAGGAAACATAATTTGAACATGCACTGTTGTCTCCCTCTGTAGTATTTATCATGTCATTTGCCAAAAAAGGAGCAATAGATTTCTGCTAATTTTTTTCTCAGTTATTGAGGATATTGTTCCCATTGAAATTATGAAATAAAAAGTGGGGGTCACCGTGCTCGTTTAAGAGAAAAGGAGCACTTATTTCGCT